GAACGTTTTTTTTTGCATTCTGCCTCTTTGATATAACGAGAAAATATATAAAACTCACATAGAAGAAACGGTGGGGCTGTTTTCAAATAAAGTAATTCCGCTTAATGTACTTTGGAAAAGTCTTTATTGGTCTCTCAACGTATATATATCAGATACTCTGATGGTCTGTTTGGCCTACTGCTATATTTGGAGACACACAATGTCTTTACTTACACTAAACGACCCAATTCATCTCTACAGTATAGAAATCATATAACTTACGTATTTAGCACTATCACCCAAGATTTCAATTACAATTTCGTACCATAAGATAAAACACATTTCACAGAATTTATTACTGCACACAACGTCGTTCTTCGAAATTAATTAGATCTGTTTGGTGTTGCGTATTTTAGGTTCCACATCATAAAAGGAGATTATGAAGATGTCATTGCAGTTCATAGAAGGCTGTGGCTATTGACTGCTCCAAGGCTGCGCCAAATGTGGAACATCTGCTTAACAAAAATATGAAACGTCCCCGCCGAGGAGGGTATGGGTTACTAGAAAGACCACTACTAAAGTTACTGAGCTGTACCTGGCCCTCTGCATTCCGAAACCGGTAATTTCAAGCTCTCTACCTCTAAACCTCGAAAAAAAGATTTTTATTATTGCACAAAATAGTTGAAATATAGCTCAAATATTTTTATTGTTTCAATTTCCTCTCTGACTGGTCTCAGTGGGCTTGCAACCCTACACTGCACACAAGAAGAGTGGAAGGGGGCTTACCGTTGATTTAATTGCTGGCCTCCCTATTTTCCTGCTTCCACCACCTAGGTATTTGTCCCCCCCATCCCCAAGTTGAAATTGTGACCTTAAGGCATACCTCTACAAGAAAGCGATCAGAAGTTTTTCAATTAGTTCTTTATATTCTACTGTGAGCTCTAGTTGAAGGGTGGTCACAAAACAAAACCATGATTGGTAAGGTGCCACATTTTAAACTGAGTGTAAAAAGATATGGGTCCTATTTTTCGAAGCCGAAATTGCCAATATTTCAAAGCGTCTCACAGAATTCTTTTAAGGGGTCTATAAGCAGTTGTGTAACACTAAGGTCATCGAAGCTAGAACTTAATGGCCTTTTCACCTTGAAAGTGTTGAGTTTGTTTACAGTATAGTATAATTACATTACTGGTAACTCCAAACAAAATATTATCGCATTGTTTTTTTTTTATAATCAGACCAGGAATAATTTACATTCCAGCTGCAGCAAGTGCTCAATCTCATGAAAGGAACGAGTTTCATTTTTATTGGAGAAAGAAAAAAACCAAATGATCTTCTTGAACCGATAGCGAAGAATCACGCTTTGTCTCTGTGCATTCAACAGATGAAGGGACTCGAAGAAACTTGCACAGAGTGAAAAGTTGTAAGGTGTGATTTTCTTTCTGCTTAAAACAAGTCAAGTGCAGAAATGCCGGTTTAGCATTTTCGTACTCTATTCATTACTTTAGCAGGTCATAGTCGGTTGTCCAGGTCGAACAAAGTCAATGTTATTTAACAACATTACATTGTTTTGCATCGAATAAATATAATTGAAAGAGGGAGGTGAAGGTCATATGTTGAGCCCGACAATTTAAAATTTGATCAAGAACTATGCTGACTTCTTTTATAATTATTGAACAAAAAAGGGTTGCAAAGCAGAGACCTGCCATATTTACCCGATCGAAAAGTTACTAGTAAGCATCAGAATATCAGCGCATGCTTTGCTAAACATTTGTCTATTTAAAGCCTGTGAATGTTCCTGGAGAAAGCGAAGCCATTCGAGCAAACATGAACTTTGGTTAGGGTGTGCACTGAATCAATAAAACATAGTTGTGCATGCTAGAGCATTTTTTTGTTCTGTGTTTCAGTATTTTGCTTATTACATTCCTAATTCACGACGGTTATAGAGCGGCAGTTACAGCTTCAACAACCTGGGTGAAACATTTTACTTCTTATTTCGAATTGTTGACATTCAGATTGAGCTACAGTGTATATGATTTTGGAGTTAAAAGGAGCGACTTAAGTTGTGATTTATTTTTTCTCAGAGGTCAAGTCAATATTCCGTTGCGTTTTCCCTTTGTCCAGCAAGTAATGCTCAACCTTTTTATTGTGGACACAGTAAGCCAGAGCTTTCAGAAGTGTTTTCGTCTTGAGTATCGAAGTTTGTTTGGCGGTACCTAGACCTGTATCAGCCAACAACTTCGATCCACAAAATCATACAAGGAAATATATATGGTTTCTTAGCAGTGATAATTGTGGTTGTAAGAAGAGTAGTCTATTTGCTATTTTTAAACTTTAACTGCTGCAGAAAAGACAGTAAACCATATGTTTAGTCCCAACTGAAAATGTTTGAATAATGGTACCATATCTGTGGTAAACAGTCACGAAAACAATGCACTTTCTTCTCAACTGTTTTCTAGTTGTGTATCTATCATTCAGGTACTTGTAATTAAGAAGAAAGTTCTGTTTTTCTTCCAGAATCTACCTCCACGCCAACCAAATGCTTTATTGTGTAGGACTATCACGGTAGGACGAAACATTATTAACCCCCCTTTATTTGAAATTCTTATGGGCGGATTAGTGCTGGCGAAAGATATTCGCCACGTTAAGGTGCTTATGGATTTATTTTGCCCGGCTACTATGTAATGGACATCGCATTCTGCCAAGATGCAGAAGAGGCATCGCTCTTAATGAATAAAAAGTATTATTAAAGTCTATTGAGCTGCCCGTGAAGGTTCTTCACATGCTTAACGTTTAGGTCAGCTTTTTTGTGTCTTTGGAGGGGCCTCACGGTGGTCATCTTGAAAGTCCTGGTACTAATCTTTATTTTTTTTTTATTTACAAGAGTACTGACAACGGGCTATTTCCTAACAACTTTTCGTTGCTGTGAGCAAGGTTGCGTTTCGGCGATGTTTTGAATAGTAAATTCAATATTTAATTGTTGCGACGCAGTGAATTCAAAGAATAGGGTGCATTTCTATCGCAACCCCCCCCCCCCCCCCCCCCCCCCCGCTTGGCATTTCAGTGATTTCTATCAAACGACTCGAGGGAATTGGAGGGAAATTCCCTCCTTCCCGAATACTTACGATGCTTCAGTTGCAGATATGTGACAATTTTTTCTCTTTATAGCCTTTAATGTTTTTCGGAACTAGCATGTGATGTGTTAAGACTATCATAGTTTGTCTGGGATGCTAGCATATAATAAGATTAGCCTACTAAAGCCACGTATGCGAATTTGGGTTTCAGCTACTTGTAAATTATAAATATAAAACCTCAGCCTTACAAGGTGGCCATGAAATTTTACTAATATTTTAACCTCAGTGCGCAGGAGTTTTTACGTTTGTTACGAACATTTTTGTTGACGTTACACTTTTAGGGAGACTACACATTTGTTGCAGACCAAAAAAAAAAAAAACCTTTGTGTTGCAAGGAAATATTTCAAAGTAGCATGGAGAAGGGTAGACGCTTTTGAGTCTTTAAAATGTGTCATTTCAGAAAGCCAGAATGTTTAAATTTTACGCAGATAAATATTTTATTTGTGTACCAAGTTTTATTCCAATAATAGCCAATAAACGTCACTATACTTCTCATCAGCTCTATATTCTCAGTGGATTTCACCTATGGCAAGTGACAAGTTGGTGATTCTAGGGCACCCCTTGTTTCCCTTACATATATTGCCCTATACCTCTATACTTAATTTTGTCATAACCAGAAATTATAAATGTGGTCCTAAAGCGCATTCGAAACCAGCAATTTTTATATAGGTAGGGCACCAGAAGAGAAGCCCTTTTTTTCCAAACCTATTTTTGGCCGTATTTGAGATATTAAAAAGTTAAGGTTTGTTATCGGCTTCTTGAAGAGTGAAATCATGAAGCACAGTCATCATTAAGGGCACTTTGTGAAAGAGTTATTTTAAGCTACTTTTTCTAATAAGTGCATCTTTATGAGGCACCTTTGCAGAGATTTGACACGAGAGACAACATAAAAAAGGGGTTACCTATAACATGACTCTAATTCAGACGTGTGATACACAAAGAACTGACTTTTGGAAAAAAATATCTTGAAGGAACTCCTCAAAGGATCTTTATAAAGAGCAGTTTTTTTTTTCTTAGAACAACTTAAAAACCTTAAAAGGGTTCTTTCTGGTGAATCGATTCATTAGAAAGGAGCTGGTGAGAACTTCTCGAATGATCTTGATGAAAAAACGTTTCATAAAAAAGTGCTTAGAAGAAATCTTGAATGGTTGTCCATAAATAACTGTTTTATAAAAAATAGCTGAAAACAACTTTTTAAAGGTTTTCCATAAAGAATTTTCGCATAAGAACATGAGCGCAAAAGAACACCTTATAGGATTTTCTTGGAGTTCGTTTTAGGGGCGATTATAATAACTTTTTAGGGTGCAGAATATGGACAAGCAGAAGAAACCCTAAGAGTTATTTTACGAACAGAGTTTTGTTTTTAGCGTGTAGTCTTTGTGCCTGTTCTTCTCCACAAGGCACTGCTGTGGCGTGGAAACGGTCACCTTGATTTCGTAGTGAATAGGCACAGGGATTGAGAGTTTGCAAAGAGCTAACGCAGTCTAGATGCATTACAACTGTTTGTGAGCTGAAAAGAGGCAGTAGCCATTACCGAAGCAATGAAATTATATGCATATCCTATCCTTAACCCGATTCCTCCTCTAGCGCTGCCAGTGCATGTGACCTCAATTTCTGCTTGCTTAGACGTGCGCCCTTGATAGAGAGGAGAAAACGAGAAAGTTGTGATGGCGTCCTGTGCGCTTCGAAGAAGCCGTTGAGAGTCCGTCGAGTCCACGGCACAGGGAAAGGGAGGAAGAACGCGTGAGAAGACGTCGAATGGGAAAAAGCAATTCGACGAGGAGGGCGCCGGTAATTGGTCAATTTTCCGGGTGCATTTGGGTATTCAACTAGCTGAGTGCGCTGCACAGAAGAAACGTTCACTCTTGTCGAACTTCCATGGAGTGGACGATGTTTTTCTTGGTCATCTCTTACCTTCTGAAGTGGTGTCTTCCAGCTTTCGCCTTCGGAACGTTTCTGCTCTACGTTGCTTCTTTTATTTCCGGTAGGCGCCGAAGGTCTGCCGAGCTGCACCGAAAGGTACGTCGGCTCGTCTAAGTAATGTCGAATTCTTAAAAGTTACAAAATCTTGAATCAATTGTAGGTTTTATATGACGTGTGTTTCACGATATTTTTTCTTTTACCATACATTTCTCCTGGTGCTTAGGCTCGAAACGTCTAGACCGCTACAATATATTGTAATCACTCTATGACCTGATTGTTTATCATTGTGTGGAATCGCAACAACAGAGTAACCTTCCTTAAGTTGTGTATAATTTGTGTGCTTCTGTATCCGCAGAAAGGATATTATTTAATTGTAACAACTATCCTTACTTTCCAATATAGAAATTTGAAACGACGGCACAACGATGCGAAATGTGAGAAGAGGCTAATTCTGCTTTTGATATTGTCACGAATGACAATTGATGAGGCGATAATAAATGAAGAAACTAAACGTTAATGGGGCGAACTTGTACCCAAAAATAAAAAGAAACATAAGAAAGTAGAGCGTCGCGGGCGTCGAAGTCGGCCTGACAGCAGAGTCGAACGCTGGGGCGAAACTGACTCCGGCTTGCCACGCGGAGCCGCTTTTGTACACGCGTGGGCTTCTGGAGCATTCGGCGTAGAAGGTTCAGCGCGTAGAACATTCTAATCTCGAATCAGCCTCCAAGACGGTTCTCTAATTTACCAGAATACTAGTCAGCAGGAATGAACAAAAAGATGCGGCGCTCCCATGAATTGAACCCTGGCCCTTCGCGTGGGAGGCAAGCGCGATAACCGTTAGGCCACGGCCGCACTGCCTACTTGGCGCGCGGCAATATCAAGAAGTCATATTCTACGATGCAATCCTTGATTCCTTGTGTGCTACTTTATTTGTGTCAACAAACTTAATATCGGACTCGTGAAAGGCGGCTTTCATATTTTTATGTAGAGAGAAATTGGGTGCTTGTGATTTTTTGCGGTCGATTGCGTGATCGTTCAAAAGCAAAAACGTTCCGTGCAACTTCAGCATGACCGAGGACTGATTTATATGCATAGTATTGCGAAAAAATGAAGTTAACGTTGTCGATTATGGTTGCTTTGAATCAAGAAATATATGTTTAAGAAGCGAGGGTGGCAAAAATACTCGCCTTTACTTCGGACCTTTTGAGACGGGCAAACACCTTGCATCGAAGGACAATATTATCAATTGTTTAATTCACTATTTTTATTCACATTTTTTTAGCCCTATTTTAGGAAGGTACGTAACCATCGCGGATTCGAAGGAAATTGGTACTAAAAGTTGTATTATAGTTTTCTTAAACGATGTATTTTGTATGGTATTCCAACACACGTAGCAGCTCAAGCACATATTAAGCACTTTGTTTGTGCTACAATTCTTGTTATTGTGTTCAGTGTATTTTCTTTTTTATATTAGCTATTTTTCTAATCAAATATATTTCGTGTCGATAAAGTTAAGACTTGAAAGACTAAGGCTCTTCGTATATCACTAGTTTGCCATGGTGAGTAGCACGAACGAGACAACTCGCAAGCCTTAAAGTGTACCTATTCTAAATTATCGCAGCCATAAAAACGAGCAAAATAAAAAAATATTGTTAATGAATAGTTAATCGTATCGTTATTTTTGTGAACAAATAACTAAAGCCGCGATGAGCTTCGAACTTTTTTTTTAATTATATACACAACAACTGGTTTGTGTTATTATATAATCACAGGTGCGACAAGCAGTAACAAGCTAGAGTACAATTGTATTATGGAAGTGCAAGTTAATTACCTACAGAAATTTCAATTTCCCGCCAAAAATATTCTAAAGTATCGCCTATAATGGTGGAAATAATTTCAAACTGAATCAGAAGTAAGAAGATACGGAATATTCTCAAATTAAATTCTCTGTTAACAAAATATTTTAAGCAACCTTACCCGCGAAGGAATCTATCGATGACACGTAAAGACAACACAAAAGATTCAATAGTACGTGCGAATTCACGCAGCTCCAGCCGTCACGGAAAAGGTATCCCACACGTGACCTCCCTCCAGTTTTTCCCAATGGCTGGATCCCCGTGCTCGAATCTTCAGATCTCAGACTGGAAGAAGTCAAACAAATAGACCTTCTAGGTAAGCTCTGCCTCTCTTTTGCGTATACGTTTGTTTAGATCAAATGATTTTTTCAACAGCACTCACAAAAGTATATAAAAGAATGCTGTTCCGTGATGAACTTAGAACATCAGTTATTCAAGAGTCTTCGCCTAGCTTGACCAGGAGTGCAGGTCAGAAGCCTCTTGCCGCAATTGTAATTAAATGCGAGTAAATCGTTCCCTTTTGACGTATTATTTAAACCCTTCTCGTACATCACCCTCAGGCTAACGAAGTTTTTCCATAAATCATTTATGCCCTTTTATGAGGTTCATCGTAGTTACTTGCAACATACAAGAAATGAATTATATTAGTCGTTGAATATATATATTTGTTTAAGTGAACACTGAAATTAAAAAAGATGGGTATTTTGCTATGGGCGGCATAAGTTACTTTGAGGACCGCCAACTGGAAATGACTGGTTGGCAACCAAACCGGAACCCCTTTTTTTCATTTTGTCGATCGAAAAGAAAATGGGTTCTATATATAGAGCATTACATATATAGGTCTCGTAATCTATGAATTAGACTAGTGGTTAATTTATCCCAGGAGAAATAAAGATTTGGCACGCATCTAGGGTCGAGCCAAACCTTTAGTTCAAGTTTTGAGGGCCGAAAAAAATTATTTTGTGTAAATGCAGATACAACTAACTCCCAAAAAATAAACTTGAATCATTGATATTACTCGGGTCTCAACCTAAACCAATTTTAATCATTCTCAAAACAGTGTACACTGGACAGCGAAGGTTTAATAATTGATGTTTAAATTACTGGAAGTGATATTTTTTTTTCAGATACGACTTTTAAAATGTATGTTAATAAGAAAGGAATATTATCAAAAAAAGTAAAAGTGATAACATGAGGACTTTCATGTTATTCGAGTAAAGGTTTGTACAGGTTATCAAACAAAGTATCCACGCATGCAATTCCTGATATACGAACAATTAATGCATCTGCACTGAAAATACTAGTAAAATTTCGGATGTAATATGTATTTCTATCGTTGCTTTCCTTATCTGAATAAACGTTTTCCCTCACAACTCAAATTTACTTCGCACGCCTATACAAGGCCGCTCATCACCGAGCTCAGAAAGATGAGTGAACAGAGATTTAGAATACGCTCGGTAGGCTGCGTGAGCCTCAAAGTATCGGCGCTAAACTCATAAGTAAGTGCTACGGTTGATTTGGGTCGTAAGGCGAAAGGAAACGATGCCCACTGACGCGGAGAGAGAACAAGACGCCGAACGGACTCGTCGTCGCCGGCTAGCATTGGCAGAGAAGTCCCTGGCTCTTGAACAGAGCGGCCTTTCCGCGACACGCCATGGAAGTATACTCTTGCGTGCAAAAGCAGGCGGCGAAGGGCGGACGAACCTTGGCCCCGTCTTGACTCTCGTAGTACAAAAGAGTGAACGCTTACGTAATGGTGGTGTCTGGGAGCTGTTTGGTCTGCAGTTGCTGCGTTTATATCTTGTCTCGTGTTTTTCTTCTCGTTTGAGACGTCCTTTCTGGCAATCGAAGAGTAGCAGAGGTATACTGGCGTTTCACTCCTTGAACCGAACACGGCGCTACAATATGACGGAATCAACCAAGCGCTTGCTTAGCGTGAGGCCTTGTCACCCGAAGGAAAAATCCATCAATGTAACCCTGTTTGGCAGTCAATGTTTTCTAGTCGACCGCTGACTGTGCCTGACTGTACGTCAAGCATGTCTGATTGGCCAACAAGTTACTCTGACCGACAGTCAAACTCCCGTCAGACCCCGCTTGTCGGCTTTCTGATGGTTTCCTGGTGGCAGTCGGCCGCCGCGAAATGCCATCAGGATTAGGGGTGTCGCGAACCGGCCACGGTTCGAGTTCGACCAGGTTCGACTTTTTCGAACTTTTAGTGGAAAGTTCGTCGAACCTTGTATTGAGGTTCGACTCGTGTGCGCATGCGCGACAGGCTGGCCAGTTGGCTTCGGATTGGATGGAAATGGCTAAGAGATGAATTAAGTGCAGCGCTGATCCGCTATTTCAGTCAATACAGTACTAAAATTTAAGTTATTAACTTCTTCAGTGAATAGAATTAGTTTCTTTCAATTGCAGTTGTTCCTAAAATAAAATGACCCTTTGCATAAAAAAAAAAAAAATTCTCCAACCCTAGACATGCTTGTATCAAGGCCCAAGTAACATTGATATGTTGTAGATATGTTGCCAGAATGTTCCGAATGTTGTGGGAGTGCTGGGCGATTTTGCGCAACAGTCCCCATTATGTTTCTCACGCAACAGTGATTGGCACGACAAAGGCACAGCGTTAGGCTACTGTTTCGAATTCCATGCTGCCTAGGAAACCGTGTGCTAAAGGTAAAAAAAAGTTGAAGGTACAACGTTTGCTAGGCGGCATAATTTAAATGTTGCGCAACTGCAGCGCTCGACATGTTGCTTAAGCAACGTAGTATCAGTGTAGTACAGACGTGAAAATCGCAACGATGTGTAGTGAACTGTTTCCAATATGTTTCTGAAGCAACATTGATCGGCACAACATGGCACAGCGTTAGGCTACTGTTTCAAATTTCATGCTGCCTAGGAAACCGTGTACTAAAGGTAAAAAAAAGTTGAAGGTACAACGTTGCTAGGCGACATAATTTAAAGGTTGCGCAACTGCAGCGCGCGACATGTTGCTTAAGCAACGTAATATCAGCGTAGTACAGACGTGAAAATTGCAACGATGTGTAGTTAACTGTATCCAATCTGTTTCTGATGCAATATTGATTGAAACGATAAAACGCAGCGTTAGGCTACTGCTTCGAATTCCACGCTGCCTAGGAAACCGTGTGCTAAAAGTCGGAAAAAGGCTGAAGGCACAACGTTTTCTAGGCGGCATAATTTAAATGTTTCGTGACTGCAGCGCGCGACATGTTGCTTAAGCAACGTACGTAGTATCAGTGTAGTACAGACGTGAAAATCGCAACGTTGTGTAGTTAACTGTTTCCAATCTGTTTCTGATGCAACATTGATCGGCACGACAAAGGCACAGCGTTAGGCTACTGTTTTGAACTCCATGCTGCCTAGGAAACCGTGTGCTAAAAGTCGGAAAAAGGTTGAAGGTGCAACGTTTTCCAGGCGGCATAATTTAAATGTTGCGCGACTGCAGCGCGCGACATGTTGCTTAAGCAACGTAGTATCAGTGTAGTACAGACGTGAAAATCGCAACGTTGTGTAGTTAACTGTTTCCAATCTGTTTCTGATGCAACATTGATCGGCACGACAAAGGCACAGCGTTTGACTATTGTTTCGAATTCCATGCTGCCTAGGAAACCGTGTGCTAAAAGTCGGAAAAAGGTTGAAGGTACAACGTTTTCCAGGTGGCATAATTTAAATGTCGCGCAACTGCAGCGCGCGACATGTTGCTTAAGCAACGTAGTATCAGTGTAGTACAGACGTGAAAATCGCAACGATGTGTAGTTAACTGTTTCCAATATGTTTCTGATGCAACATTGATTGGCACGACAAAGGCACAGCGTTAGGCTATTGTTTCGAATTCCATGCTGCCTAGGAAACCGTGCGCTAAAAGTCGGAATAAGGTTGAAGGTACAACGTTTGCTAGGCGACACAATTTAAATGTTGCGGAACTGCAGCGCACGGCATGTTTCTTATGCAACGCGGTATTACTGCAGTACAGACGTGAAAATCGCAACGTTGTGTAGTGAACTGTTTCCAATCTGTTTCTAAAGCAACATTGATCAGCACGACAAAGGCACAGCGTTAGGCTACTGTTTCGAATTCTATGCTGCCTAGGAAACCGTGCGCTAAAAGTCGGAAAAGGTTGAAGGTACAACGTTTTCTAGGCGGCATAATTTAAATGTTGCGCGACTGCAGCGCGCGACATGTTGCTTAAGCAACGTAGTATCAGTGTAGTACAGACGTGAAAATCGCAACGATGTGTAGTGAACTGTCTCCAATTTGTTTCTGATGCAACTTTGATCGACACGACAAAGACACAGCTTAAATTCGCTCATTCACACCGGCGTTCGAAACGCGAATGCTTAGCAGATCCTCCCGTTTTCTCCATCGAATCGCGAGCAATTGCACTGAATCTTTAATGGGATACTGAACCAAAGAATTTAGTGCCCATAATAAGTGGCGCACGTTCTTTCCACCAGCCAGCAGCCGCCGGTGTGCGCGAGCACACGCAACAAAAATGACGCCACAGACCTCCATTCGTGGTTGAGATGACAGTGAAATGCATGGGCTTCGGACTAAAGGAGAATAAAGACAGGCTTTTCATCTCTACAAGTGAAAGCTACGTGCTTGTTAGACCAATTCATCGCTGACTTTATACACCAGGCACCACTGTGTAGATGAAAAACTTGTCTTTATTCTCCTTTGGTCCGAAGCCCATACATTTCACTGTCATCTCAACCACGAATGGAGGTCTGTGACGTCATTTTGGTTGCCTGTGCTCGCGGACACCGGCGGCTGCTGGCTCGTGGAAAGAACGTGCGCCACTTATTATGGACACCAAATTCCTTGGTTCAGTATCCCTTTAAAGGGATACTGAATCGAAATTTAAAATATACACGAAACACCTAGAGATAAGTCAAATGGAATCAGATAAACCAGTAATTGATTATCGCATAGTCATATTTCAAGCGGATGGCTGTATTTTTCGTTCTAAATGCCTGGATTTCGGCGAGCGCTTCAAAACCAGCCGTCGAAGAGCGCGATGCACCTCGGGAGATCCGGCGCGGTCTTGACGTCATCATGCCTCGGAGGGCCAAGCATACCGTAGTTATGAGTCTTGCCACTTGGTGGCGTCAGCGTGTTAGAATCTCGCATAGTCGAAGTACCCGAGGGCTATAGCATATTGCAGAGCCGGCGGAGCGGCTGGAGCGGCTTCGAGTGAATGGTCGCCGACCAACGCCGCTACATCACCAGGCCATGATGGCCGAGAAGCGATTCTGCCTAGAGTCGTATTTGTACGACCCGTCTGCCTTGTCTTCGTCG